TGACTACATCTTGACGACGAGACGGAGGCACGTAACTGATAGCGTCCCAAGTATCTCGCGGCGAGAGTGTCAGAACTTGAATTCGCGAGGCAATTTCTTCACTGGAAGAAGAGCATGATAAATTAAAGCTCCACTGATGCGAGGTCGAAAATACCAACTTCGAGATTTTCTCAAGTTTCTCCACGAACCGACGACCCGAATCCAATAACTTAAACTCTTGATAACGGCGATCCAGAACAATCTTGAGGAAGACGCGATTCAAGCCTAACAGCTTCACGAGGTCTTTGTATCGAAGGTGCCATGCAATCAGCTCCCATAGCTCTGGCGGAAGTGTAAACGTGCGTTCATTCTGCGCTTTGGCTGTAGCCAAATCCGATCCGTCGATGTTGCCAATGCCATTGTCCTCCATTGGGAAGCGTTTCAGCGGTTCAGCGAAGTGGGTTCAGCGTTGCTAGGGATGAGATGGGTTCGGCGAGGGTGGGAATTCTCAGGCGACCTTGCGAATAAGCTGTGGCAAGTCAGATGGCAGATGAGGCCTGAGGTCCAATCAGAGACCATGATATCTGATGCGCCATTTTGGGCAGTGCCTGGCTGCGTTACCGGCCAAAATATGATAGATGGATGCACCGTCCGGCGTCAATCCTCGAAAGAGATAAAAGGTCGCCAGATAAGTCTATAGTGCCAAGTTCCTGAGCGCTATAATATCTATTCGACTGACTCATTGGGATGAAGGTGGCGACCAATCAGCAACTTGTGGCGAATCACAGATCATGAATCCCACAAGGGTGAAGGAGTTGTGGAGAAAACGACGGTATCCTGGATGGAGGGATCCTAATCTTATTCCAAATGGGATCTCCTAATCTTATTCCAAATGGAATCCTTCGACGTCTAGCGGGTATTGTTCACGGACCGTGAATATTTGCAGGAATCATGTAGGATATGGCGTCATGAATCACGTTCATGACCTTTCACGCTCTGGTTGACACCCTGAGGATGAGGAGCGTTATGGCCCTTTGGTATCATAGTTGCCCAATTCAAATCCAGCGGTCGGGATTTTTGGCCTTGTCGCTCAGCCTTTGTGGAAACTCGATGAACTTGCGGGAAGGTATGCATCAATGAAATGCGCAGGGGATATCGAAAAAGTTCCGTGCAGTTTTAGGGACCGTCGGTTTCAGGAATAAGGAGGCTCGAGTGTGATATTAGTTGTATGCTTCAACCTGAGGGCCTGTCCTTAACCCAGTTTGGCAGATCGTTTAATGCCAGACAGGTTGGTGATCAAAAGGGACAGCGCGACATATTGAATCCTGGACAGCTGGAAGACACCAATGGAATACCGTAACTTGTGCAGCCGTTCACATGGTGGAAAAATTATTTGGTTTCCTGGAAAGAAAAGATATATTCAATTGCCGGTAAACAAAAAAGCCCAGTACGTACGTAGCTCTTTGTTGCATATTACAACTGTAGAAAACGTGATGCGATGTTTAATGCATCGAGTAGACGACGTAGAAGTGCAGCTATGAGACTAATTTGCTCGGTGGTTCTGGTGAAAATAATTTTGAGTAATGATTCATAGTAGGTTTGTGGAAACACACCATTATAGTTTCTAGTAGCCAAGGACTTTACTTTTCAATCTTCTTTGGAAGAGATCATTTCCAAATTACAAGTCGTTGTGGTCGGAGTTGACGCTTATTGTTTTATTTTTCCACGGTCACTAATTTTGAAGTGGACTAGATCACTTGTCACTGATTTAACAAAAAGCCATAAGCCCGTCGTTGGCCTCTTCTTCCTCATTGAGCTTAGCTTCTCTGCTATCTTTTGTCCTTTGTCGCTCGCTATCTAATCTCACCCACAGGACGATCAGTACGGCAGAGAAGGCTTATTTTCAGTGAGGTAGCAGGTCAAGCTTTTAAGTATTCTTGGTCTACATACTACGTGTGTAAGTGTCTTGCTGTTCACCCTTTTCGTCCTGGCTGACTTTCCTGGAAGCTACTGATAGAATCTGGACCGTGGTATAGACATCAGCGTCAACGTTATAGACTTTCTGCCATTCACGACCTCTTGACGAGGACATCTTGCTCACGACGGTCCTTACAGACGACCACTAATTGAAGACACCTTTTTCTCAATCATGACAGATCTCACTGTTCTCATATCTCCTGTACCTCTATACCCAGCGATGAAGCCAGGCTTCACATTTGGGAGGAGAAATCCTCAACCGCACACCCGTCCGATCATGGTTACTTTGGAGACAGAAAGGGAGCCGGACAACGATGGATATGCTTCCGATGACGGGAATAAAGCCTCTTCGCCACCACGAAAAAGTCGTTCTCCTAGGAGATTTGATTCGACATTACTCTCACCGCCGCCCAACACATGGAAGTCAAGGCCTCGGCATCGACCTACTCGTTCGCAGAGTGCTCCGCCCGAACGCAAAATTCGTAAGGAGTCGCTGGATATGGAAGAACTAGTGGAGAAGGAGAAAATAGAGCTTGCGCCCCTTGACTTTATGCGGCCGACAACCAGAAGGAGCCTCACGGCTTTCCCTTTAGATCCTACCACGCGAGGCGGCGAACTGATACGTCCGCCTCCACCTTTACGTGAGTTTCTCTGCAAATTACTGTCGCTACTGCCTCTTAACGACCTTCTCTCTTAGTCCGCCCCACAACCTTCTGGCGCAAGACCCGCAAATCGGGAGTATCTGGGCCTTCATACTCTCCTGCGTCCCATCTCATTCGTCGTTCTACATTCATTGCCGCTGGGCTGTCCTTCGATTCCCCTGTGCACGACCTCAGTGCACTTTGCGTTGAGAGTCGAGTTGGGTTCATTGTCGTTCCTCCTCAACACTCGCTATAGGAGAGGCGGATGGTCGAAAGGCGGTTACTAGCAGTGATCAGCCTGTTTTTTGGAGGTGGTGCGATTTTGGCTACACCATCGGCGTCGAGGGAGAGCAACAAAGTTTGGGATGTCAAGTACGAGCGACAGATACAAATCTCACAGCCCACGACGAGCATCACCCCACTTCCCCACCCTGTTGTTGTCGCACACACAACCGCTACTCCTATCATCCCTTCATCTTCTGCACCCGTTCCCGCTTCCGTAACCTCAAGCTCACCTGTTGTGCTTCTGTCCGCCGTAGCCCCTTCGTCATTCAGCCCTTCCTCTACATCCCTCGCATCTTCCACGACGCAGTCTAAGGCATCTTCCTCCGAAATAAGTTCTAGTCTGACTTCCAGCATCTCAACTGTGCCGAGCCAAATCGCGTATTCCGATAAATACCCGGTACACAACCATTCATTTAAATTACTTTATTTGGTCCCCGTTCTTGTGTTTCTCGGCGTACTTTGGGGGTGCCTTGCGGCATGGCTAGTATACGGATGTCTTACTCGGCGTCCCAAGTATCAGGAAGAAGAACTCATCAGTGGCCCACGTTACGTTCCAACTCCTCGTGATGTAGAGGATGGGAGACCGCCCCCGCCGAAGAATGACGAGATGGAGGAGGTGACGTTTTCGTGGTCCCATCTTAGGCAGCAGGGTCCGAAGAAATTTGAGAGGATTCCCGATGACGAGGACGACCCGTTCCTTCTTCCATCATCACCAACAAAGATCAAGTCTGCCAGGACGAAATCATCGCGGTCTACCACGACTGAATATTCGGATTCGGCGTATTTACTGGAACACGACAGCGAGATGAGGAAGGATGATACCCCATGGGAGAGTCTTCGGCATAAGAGTATCAAGCGCGGAATTTTAGCGGAGGTGCGCAAGGAGGGTAATCGGATCGACTCTCTTCGACCGGCGACGAGCGTGCGCAATACTGGCACGGGATTCAGGAAACCAGTTGAGCGGAAAGTATCCAAGCACGCGCGGACAGAGTCTGACAGTCTCATCCTCTCTATTGACCGTATGATTGCCAACGCGGATCCTCGTGCATCAACCGGCAGACCATCCACTCACCGCACCGATTCTGAAATCACCACTGTGTCCCTCGTATCGACAACCACCGCCGGGGATAAAACGCAGTGGAAACCTGGTGCCGGGTTCAGGATCGTGCCAGAGTCTCCTCTCTCCTCTCGTGGGCCAACACCTGTTCCTCCAGATGACTCTGCTCCGTTCGGCATGACTTGGGCTACTGCACACGCACCTGACAGGTACAACACCCCTGACAAATACACTCCTGCTCCTGCACGCCATGATACCAGCCGTAATCGCAGCCGAAGCCGCAGTGCTAGCCCTGTCAAGTCCCGTACCGGCCCATCGACACCTGCGCGTCCACACGCGGCTGTACTTCCTCACAGTCCGCCACAAGTCACTAGCCCGTTTTTGGAGGACAATTTGTGTTTTGCTTCTCGTCGGGAACCACCTAGGACACCGCTGTCTCCTACCTCATCTGCAGGGCGGCCTAGGCATATGAGTACTCCACAGAAACTACGCTCGCCAACGGCTCAGCCCTTTTTCATGGTTCCTGCTGCCGGTGTTGGTGATATAGACTCTCCCAATAGGTCAGATGTGTTAGGCGGCAGACTGAGCAAATCTCCTGCGAAGGCTCAGAGGGCTCAGCGGCCCCCGATGACGTCGAAGAATTCGTCTTTGTCAACCACTTCGTACACGAGGGATACAAATGGGAGAGCGATAGTGGCGGCGATGAAGAAGGTTGAGGAAATCGTTGACAAGAGCTGGGGCGCACGCGATTTGGATGAGAGGGGTGTGAGAGCTTTGAGCCCCACTGGGTTTGGGAGGACCACTGGTTTGTGAGCTTTTCTTTCTCTATTTATTCAATGTTATTTTTGACAAGGTGGACCCTTGACGGAGTTGAATACCGTTAGACTCTGTTTCTTTTCTTCCTTTGTTTTTGGGACGGTCTTGGACTCGCTTTGTGGATATTTATGACCAGTAAATAAACGATTTCCATATACATGATAGAAAGGAAAGAAGAAGCGCTGGTCGGAGTTCATTTGAGACGCTCGCATGCATACAACAGTTCTACATTTCCTCTGGCATTGTCTTTGCTAGTATATCGGTTAGTACACGCGCCTGTCACTTGAAAGCAAGTCGTTCCGCGCGAAAGCTGGGTTCGACTCCCAGGCAAAGAGGGGCGGAGATAATGAGGTCTTTTTCTTTTGCATAACATTAAGTGTAAGTTCTGATTCTCGAGCTCATCCTTCTTCACCACGCCTCAGTGAGCCTACGTATACTTGATACCTTCCTTTGGCTAATTTCAGCCATTACGGTCTCTATATAAACTGTTTTAAATCGTTTGTTCCCCTGATACGCCCCCCTTCCTCAGGCCTAGGCCTCTCGACACTTGTATCTCCTGCATCTTCTGCTCTAGAGTGTTCACATGAATTGGAATGAAAGGCATTTAAACGCATTCCGACGTGGGGGGAAAATCAAGGGCTTGTCCACGAGTCGCATATATCGACGATCAGAAAAGGTACCATCGATGGTCACAGTCGTGATACTCTTGATCTCGGCTCCACCATTTCTGGCGATTTTACGGGGTTTGCGGACGAGTACCTGTGCGCGTGATAAAGGGAGGCAAAGACATATATTTAAGCACCGTGAGTACATAAATACTAAATACACGAGCGGATAATTTAACGAGCAACAGCATCGACGCATACATCACAATGGCCATTACCCACGGCAGCATATATGTCCTCATTAACACCAAGTCTGGCACTGCGCTGAATCTTTCGGATGGTAGCACCAGTTCGTGACTTGATATTCGGTCCTCCTAAATAAAAAGTCCTTACCAGCTATGATTTGCAGTTCTTGGTTGGGAGCCGCACCATGGAGATACCCAGAAGGTGCGTATATAGCTTATGCCGCGCGCTTTGGGGTTAATATCGTCATTCAGTGGGAGCTTTCTAACGATAATGATCATTGGGTCTTCCGTAACGTGGCCAGTGGCGAATATCTCGGCCTAGCGGACCCAGCGCAGGATAATACACCTGTGTGCGCAGTCAAGGATCCCGTCGAATGGGATGTCCTACCGGACGAAGAAAACCCATCGGTTTACAGGTGTGTCGTGTGCCTGTGCTTTTGGACCCGACTCATTGCAAGTTAAGAATACTTGTTCCTGGCACGTTTTTAAACATCGACATTGCGGACTACGGCAACCCCGACGATGGCACACGCGTAGCGATATGGGGCAAGTGGCAGCCAGGAGAGAACCAGACTTGGAAATTCATAGAACGTGAGTGATTGTCGACAATAGCAGCATAAGTTTCAGGCTCACCTCCTACCCGCGACAGTCTCCAGCTACCTATAGCAAGGCATCGCATTACAAGATGGGAACGCGCATTTACAACTAATTAACATCCCTGGCAACATTCAGGACTTCGCCTGCGCCGAAAGTCGAAGGTTTGAACTGGGGGCTGTGCTGGGAAAAAACAAAGAATGAACGGATCATGTCGATCATTATCGAAGGACGCGATTTGTTGGAGAAAGACGAGAGGTCAAGACCACATCCATCATCCATTGAGGGGACCGATGCCCAGCTACCTATGGAACTCAAGTGCGTCGATGTCGGTGCTAGCTAGGGGGTATAGTGGGAGACCCCTCTCTTTTGGATATCTGAGGTCGTATGGACCGTAATATGGGACAGTAACGTTCATAGCACCTGAGTGTATTACTACATACAACCATATTCATGTATTCTCAGGGGGGAACACGAATTATAGTACGTTGCACTCACTGTTACTAATTTGACTTCTGCTTCTCCCGTCTTGCACAAAATGCCATAAATCATTTGAATCGATGTGATTGGTTTCGGTGCTCGACACCTGTAGCTCTTGTTCCTGAAGATACGCTGGTGATTATGGGAATTATGTTTTAATTCCATATGTATTCTTTGCTAGTATATCGGTTAGTACACGCGCCTGTCATCAAAATGGCCGCGCGAAAGCTGGGTTCGACTCCCAGGCAAAGAGTTTTTGATAACCCAATCAGTTTTTTTCGGAGGACACGTTCAATCAAGTTAGTTTTATGCCATTTCATCCCCCTTTAGCTTGAAGCTCAACCATCGAAGCGTTAAGGCATTCAACAAAATTTATTTGATTCCAACACACCATTCTTTTCTTCAATCGTTCATGAGTACCGATATGTTTGCCGATTTGGAAGAGTCTGTGCAATTTTTGAATGGTTGCGACGTGCCAACAACACGCAGGCTTGTTCCGTAACGAGGCGGCCCGACGCGATGTGGCGGTTTCGTAAGTAACTTTCGTTGTTTGACACAACAGCATGCCTCGAGGCTCGGAACAATACGCACAACGCGTTGTTACCTCGAGGTGCCTTCCATAAAGACAAATCACTTTCAACGAAGGCACATTCCACTCTTCACCATCATCAGTTCACCAAATTGAAAATGTCGTTCGACGGATTTGCGTTCCAAATCTCAAACGCCTATTTCCCCCGCAAAGTTATTCAAATTGCCCCCAATAATGTTACTAGTGCGTAGCTCGGATGAATGCTAGCCGTCCCTTAAGCTCATGTGACTTCTACCCAGTCAGTGCATCCCAGAACATGAATCATAATGGCCAAAAGGTACGCACTTCTTCCTGACAATTTCCGGGATCGACCAACGAAACGCCTGATTCTCCATTCTAGTGGACATTTTGGCGCGTGCCCTCAGACGGAAGCTACGTTATTCGAAACTATACAAGCCGCCGGTTCCTTGGTCTGCTATACCACGGAAAGCTTGTCGGGGTTGAAGAAGGTGCTGCCATTCATTGGGGGATACACCCTTCTGGCTATGATAGCAGTACATGGGTGTGAGTACAACTGTGACCTCAGATTGCAATTCTTCAGCTCACGTCTTCATGTAGCATCCGGATGAAGGGCGATTCATTAGATCGTGCGTTGACCTTGGTGGGATCCGACGGTGCTGTTGCTCTTGAGTATTCATACGACGATGAGAGGATGAAACCGCTTCAGGAATGGCGTTTACGAGAGACTGGTAAGTGATCATTGAATTAAGGGTGTCATTCCTTGACTTAGATGTTAACTGTATAGAATACGATTGGTCAAACGATGGACCCATAGCGGAGTTTATGATTGAAGGGGAGATAGTAGATCTATGACATTAACCTTTACGGGTCTCGCAACTGGTTGACATCTAGATGGCTGTATCGAATTTTGGCTAATGATTTTGGTGAAGAATGGACAATCCACCATTGTAATTTGTATTCGTAGAGTATGTGGTAACTGATGGCTATCTTGAGGATGGCTTTCTCCAATCCTCTCCTTCGTTCAAGTTGAGGTGCTGCAACTCCCTTCAAGATAACAATATGTACACAATAGTCTTGTACGAAGTGATTAATTTGTATACACATCACTAGATGATTATAAGCAGACAGTGAGATTTAAGCAGAAGATTATTCTTAGAATTTGAAACCTCCAGCAAGTCCCATAACATCCTCGGGATCCACGAACTTCTGCAGTGTGCGCAGTGCATGGAGGTTACCGCCGTACATCGCCTCCAATGGCGTATCGAACATAGCATAGTTAGGGTAAATTGCTGCTGTACTAGTAGCCACGTCTTGGCCTTCCGCAGCAGCGACTCCCGCAAGGTGTGCGGCGCTCTGCCTAGCTGCCTCATGGAATATTTCATCAAAACGGACATCAGACCACGCGAAGTACAGATGGAAAGGACAGACGCTATTCTGCGAAGGAGGATAAGCGGATGAGCCGTGAACGCCGCGGTCGAAGGCGGTGGGAAGGAAGGGTTGTACACCATAGTCAACGTAAGTTACGCCAAACCTCTTCAGATGATCTGACCAGAACTTCAAACAACAACTAAGTATAAAGAGAACTGGCATAAAGAGAACTGACCGTACCACTGTCTCATTGGCGATAGCATCAAGTATCTTGGACGTGTAGCCCAAAATTGGAGTCCCGTCGTATATAGCACTAATAGGTTGTTAATTCAAGGGTAGTGCGGAGAATTAAACAAGCGTACCGGCCAAATTCGTCTCCTGCGGGGAAGCTTTGGACAAGGGATAAAAAGTCACGAGAAAATACATTCTTTTCGATGTAAGGAATCGCCAGGAAGTCATCAAAAATGACCACGGGAGGGATAGAACCATCGTAAAAAAAATGTGCATCCAAATGCCAGGCTGCAATCTGAATCAGTTGAGGCAGAGAAAGTTCAATAGATAGAGACAAACCTTGCCGTACTCGGTGGTGATATATGATGTGATAAGAGCAGCTTTCGGGTCAATGACTGATTCAGAGTATGCTAGAGTGGCAGATTTGACTGCAGCGATCTGGCTGAAATCATAAAGGATGGAACCTCCCTATCAAGTGATATCAATGCAAATACGAGGATGATCGTGAAGGAAATATACCCAAACTCGTCCTTGAGGAAATGTCTTGAAGGTGAACCGAGTCACGATTCCCTGAAATCAATATCAGCACGGTATATACAGATGTCGAGGGTCTTACGAACAAAATTGTTTCCGCCACCCTGATGGATTTTCAGCTAAAAGTAGGATTGGACTAGGTAACAAACATACCTTCAATCCGAAGAATATGTCTGGGTATGAAGTATCTGTAACTGTGACTATGTCTCTAGTAGGCTGAACAAGGTCATACGCAATAACATTATCCACTGCAAGTCTATGTTGATTTGTTAGATATGAAATGCCTGGACAAGAGATTTAGTTCAAGTTGAGTGTCGAGTGGGTGATAGTTCTGAACAAACCTCCTCCTAAAGTAAAACCTGCTACGCCAACGAGGAGAAACCAGGGTTCGTGACATGGCCGCCGCCTTTGACCTATATCAAGTTGATTTGGGATGCAATCTTTGAGTCAGAAAGGAAAACTGCGAACTGCAAATGGTGTTCGGGTTTTACCAAGGATCCTCAGCTACATATGATATATTTGTTAGCAACCGAGAGACAAGACAAGACGAAGCGAGGATCGGCTTACAATAATGGCTATATTCTCAACTATATCTGGCCTTACACTACACTTGGATCGTTCGATTCCAGACGTTGCCCAATGAAAAATATCTTCATTGTATGCGCGTTCGCCTTGTTACCATCATTATCAGTTTCAACAAAATTGATTGTTACAGCGGGCTAACAACT